GCGGCGGACTACCTCTCTCGCTGCCTTGACGACTTTATCCGCGACTATCCATGGATGACATACAACACCCGTGGCTATGGTCCTCCTATCTTGCACCTTTCTTATGCGGATGATATCATCATCTTCACCCGGGCAGATGTTGATGGGCTGATCGAGCTTATGCACCTCCTGGAGCACTATAGCTCGGTTACCGGCAGCTGATCAGTGTGCAGAAGAGCACCTTCACCCTCTCCTCCTCCAGCGCAGACAGGTGGGCTCAGCAGATCCACGAGATCACTGGCTTTGCGCGCGACGACCTTCCTAGTACCTACCTTGGTGCCCCTTTATATAAGAGCCACCACACGAGAGCGCTCTTTGCGGACATCAGGCAGAGGACTAACCTAGCAACTACTAACCTAGCAACTACATAGAACTAACCTAGCAACTACTAACCTAGCAACTACAGAATACTAACCTAGCAACTACATAGAACTAACTTAGCAACTACAAAAAGTCTCTCCTCAGGTAGAGACAGAAGCATTTAGCAGATCTCCGTCTAACATGCCGTTCAAGAGGTACGTGGAAATCGGGAGGGTGGCCCTTGTCAACTACGGAAAGGACTATGGAAAGCTTGTCGTTATCGTTGACGTCATCGACTAGAACAGGACTCTTGTGGATGCCCCTGACATGGTAAGAAGCCAGATGAACTTCAAGAGACTTTCTCTTACAGATATCAAGATTGATATCAAAAGGGTTCCAAAGAAGAAGACTCTTATAGCTGCCATGGAAGCTGCTGATGTCAAGGGCAAATAGGAAAAGAGCTCATGGAGCAGGAAGCTCATTGTTCAGAAGAGAATGGTTGCCCTCAATGACTTTGATCGGTTCAAGCTGATGCTTGCAAAAATTAAGAAGGTCGGTGTTGTCAGTCAGGAGCTTGCGAAGCTTAAAAAGACCGCAGCCTGAGTCAGCCCTGGTGTTTTCTCTTTTGAAAGTTGTATCGGTTTATTATCCAGTTTTGTATCTTTGAATTTTCCTTTTTCTTTAGCTCATTATAAACATGAGGGCACTCTGATGTTACCTATTTATTTTTGGCTAGCCTCGGGCATTTTAATGATTGGAAATCTCAAGGAAAAAAAAAAAGAAAAAAAACCTAGCAACTACAGAGAACTAACCTAGTTGGAAGGCTAGTTGTCAACGGTCAACGCCGAAGTCAACGTTGGAAGTCAACGGATACGCCGGAAGTGAACGGTCAACACCAGAAGTCAATGGTCAATGCCAGAGTCAACGGGTCAAAATAATATTGAAATATTTAAAATAATAAAAAGAAAAGAGTAAATCTTTGCCACACATGATGTTCCAAATGTTGTGGCTAAAAATGAGTCTCATGTCCTCACTTTAAGAATGTGGATGCATTGGAACCAATTCCTATGCATATATATATATATA